GCAAGACCAAGTACACATACATTCTCACAAGTGTTACATTCACTAACGTGTTGAAATTTGTTGCATGTTCGCTGCCCCAGTGAGTTTGTTTGGCAAAACAGGGGCGTAACATTTTCCTCTGTTAAATGGTGTTCTTGTGCACTTTCATGGTCACATGAACTGCAAAATGATTGTTTCTTCTTTGTAAGATTAATTTTAAGATAAATACACCATCCAAATATTTTCAGGAATCTAAAAAAGAACCACTCTACAAACGGTGTCATCAGAAAAACACACTTAAAGTTTTCACATTAAAAAAACACTGTTGCAAAATCATACATAAGTCTCTTTGAATTTTATTCACAAAAGCTTTGACCAATTGGCTTTTGTAAGAGATCGGGAAAACCGGAGTACCCGGAGAAAACCCGTACTACCTAAGTAGGCAACACAAAGAGTTTGTGTGTTGCCTACTTAGGTAGACAGCAGACAAACTCACAAAGGCTCAGGACCGGAAATCGAACCCTCACCTGTGAGTTTGCACTGTTGACTGCTAAGGTCGTCCTGAGAGCTCAAGTCCTGCCCCACATCCAGGTTATGTCACCTGAATGGGAGGCAGGATATTGATTTAACAGGGACTGACCCTTCGTCTGAACGGGGAAGTAACTGGCTTGGATATGACTCTGCCCACACATGAGAAGAACCTGCAAATGGTGTTACGCTTCTTTGGTGGATCTTTAAGGTGACGTTTGAAGGCGTTTGCAATGTGGTCATAAACTTCTGGGTCTTCTTCAGTCATTGCAGCCAGCACTCTTTCTGGATTGCCCCAGCTTTTGCACAATTGTTTGAATATAGCTTTGTCGAGGCATAGAAGAGTTTTCGTGTTGATTTCGAAATCCTCTTCTTTGACTTTGGCCCATATTCTTTCAAGCACGCAGTCAACGATGATAGTTGGCTTTTTTCGTACTGTGCTCACCTTTTGTTTCTTTAAGGTTCGCGAAACGAGCTTCTCGACAAGTACTCTAAAGCTTGCTGGAGCTTGTACAGGTGTTGTTTCCTGCACAGGTGCTGGATCCTCCACAGTTGCAGTAGGTGTTGAATCCTTCAGAGGTTCAAAGTTTGTTCCCTCAATAACGAAGTCTGTGTGTGTTTCAGTTAACACAATTGCAGACTCCTTCAAAGCCAGCGTCACCCTTTCACATTGGATGTCAGCCTGACTGGTCAGCCACCATCTCAGAAGCCCGTGGAAACACCACAGTTTGTCATTAATGACTTTATGGATGTCATTATGTGGCGAGGACCCCTCCCTTGCAAATGCTGCTGGATGATTCTCAGAAAACAGTCCATCTGAAATGTAACTGTAGAGGACGTCATTAGGTTCTCCTGAGAATGCCAGGACTTTACCGTCGATGATGTCCTGTAAACTAGGACACACGGAATACACAGCATATCCACCTTGACGACTCTCACCGCCCTCAAGCAGGGAGTCAATATCATCAGCAAAGCACTGCAAACATTCTGGGGAGAGTTCAGTCCTTAGCTGTCTTACAATACGACATAGCGACAGCTTGGCAAACTGTTTGGCAAAAAAGGTTTTTAACTTGCCAGTCACTTCCCTCATGTGCGTTGGAGCATACCGTTGTGAATTTACAGTTGCCCATCGATGAAACATTCTGATGTAATTTCTAACACTTTCACTATCCTGAGCGGTGTTAGAAATCAGCAGGTCACAGTCACACCAGGGAATATCATTGATGAAAGGGACTGCAATGTCGCTTAACTCGTTGGTTAATACGTCCTGGACATTGTTGGGTGTTTGAGTCCCATTGCTGTCCTCTGGTCCTTTCACAGTGTTCCCATTGGTTCCTGCTGTCTTAGATCTTGCTCCTGACTGATCTGACTTGTCTTCTGCTTCAGTGATGTGGATGAAGCTGTCCAGGGTGTTGCCTTGATTATGTGAGCTCGGTGTCATCTCGTCCTCCAACTCTTTTGTCCTAGTGCAGATAAGCCTGACCATGACATCAATTCGGTGAGGGGAGGTGATATGTGCGATTGACACCGGCATCACAGTGTCCCTGCTGGCAGAGAGGAGAGAGTTCACAATTTGGGTGACCTCTTCGGACAATAATCTGGACAGGTATTTAGAGCTCCTGCCAGTGCCCAAATAGTCACCAAAACTCTCACGGATGGTGTTTTGGAGATTAGGCCTGACATGCGTGTCTATATCCACACATGTCAGATCTTCCAAAATGGATCTTGACACCCGTGCTACAAGATCCAAAATCATCTCTGCCAGCATAACTTTTGTCGGGTTATCAGCTTCGTCACTGTGTAACAGTTTCAACTGACTAGCTGATAACTGATCGTTGAATCTCTCCATCAAATAATGGAAGTTATTCACAACAGTCCGTTGGATCTCCTGTCTCTGTGAACTTTCCATTTTATCTGGCGATCGTTGCTGTAGCTTCCTGTACAGTCCTTTGTCCTGCGTCCTGCGAGTTACTAAAAAACCCCCCGAGACATCAGGGAAGGCGCCTCTTTAAATAACATCAGGCGTGTCACGGGTGTGCATTTAAAGCTTCTCCCGTTTAACCCCCATCATGAAGAGAAGGAGTACCAGCACCAACACTTTACTAAAACACAGCTCTTTGAAACGAAACGTGAAGGTGAGATGTTTATCCGATTATGATGATGTAATATCAGCGTTTTAGCTAATAGTGATGCAGTCAGATGCAACAGTGTAGCCTATAGTTTATTTTTTTTGCACCATTAAAACACTAAAAGTCAAGGAATATTCCCTTCACTTGAAAGTATTTTGGGCATAAAAACACATATTTGAAAAATATTAATGTCATAAATAGTGAGAATCTGAAGTTTCTGAAATAAGTAGGCCTAAGGGTTAATGCCAGACGAGGTGTCCATTAGACTGTCAGGAATTAATGGACGACGCGGAGGCGTGAACGGTCCGACGGTTAATTCCTGATAATGGACACCTCGAAGGGCATTAACCGTTTATACCATGCTCACTTATCAAAGAAATGAATATTAAATCAATTATTTATGCTTTAATGTGTTTTACAGTTAAAATCAAGAGTTTTTCACAAGCCACAGCTGAGCGGACTATTTAGTTCACAGGCGTTGCCATGGACACCCGCTGTGCAGCGTAGAGAGCATAGTGACTCTGATCAGTGAAGGGAAGTGGGATGATGGCTAAACGTTACGTGATATTATTCAGAAGATGATTATTTAAGAAAGCCAGTGCACTTCTTACCGCTTGTGTGTTACAGACTCTGGTGGTCAGAGGATGATGTGCAAAAAAACTAAAATAAAAATCTTGAGATATTACTTTCATGATTCATTGGCGCTCATTTAGGCTATAGGCTAGGCCCAAGAAAATTTGTTTCAAATAATCAACATCCAAATAGTAGTCAAAATCGTTTTTAATTGCAACAAATAATTCATAAGCATATAGTAGTCGAGATTAAATCATATAAACACATTAACAAATTAACGATTGTTTCCTATTTAAAATGAAATGCTACATTACTATTAATAGTGAAATTTGAAAGTGATATGGGTATGTCCATCATAGTGGCATTTTAACTGCCCATTCCGTTGTTTTCTTGGTGTTGGGCTCATCCTTCTCATCTTCTAAATTATTTAATTCTTCCGGTGTCACCTCCTTGTGCCGTTTCTCCCTTTTCTTTTCATTCTCTGTCCTCTCTTCTAATGCATCCCAGTCATCAAAATTATCAAATTCACCAAATAAATTAAATGAAACGATAAAATCACCCATGATACCCGTTGTAATCCATTGCCTCTGCTCTGAGTCTCCGTTGCTATGGTTACAAACTAGCAGTTGAGCCAGCGCAATAATTTAGAGCCTGTCATCTGTATTCACCCAGACCATGGTATAAGACAGGATATCCCCCCTTTATATTGACAACCTTTTTATTTGTCTGCACATAAAAGTAGGCTGTCGCCATGACCTTTTGTTGATGGTGGCAGAGCTGTCACTCATGTAGCTCTGTTATGTTCCTATCAATATGATAGGATGGACTCCACCCAGAGAGGACAGTAGGCAGAGAGAGAGCAGGAAGAGGAAGACAGAAGAAGGTAATAATACTTACTGTTTGCACAATGGAAACAGAAGTTAGAGCGTCTATAGCCTCAGCACTGTGATGTATGTGATGTAGTGCTTTCTAACTTCCCTGCCTCTGTATAATAGGCCTATTTCACAAACAACCCATGGGCCTTCCTCCATACGCCCAGCAGATGTCAGGAGAGCACCAAGTTTTAAATGAAATGCATAGTAAGTTTTTGATCATAGTTCTTCTTTCTCCCTGTCTGTAGTTTTAAATGTATTTTATTCGTTGATTTCTTTCAACTGTATGTGTGTGTATGCATTTTGTTTAAGTCATTTAGATTATACTTCACATAAGGTTCCACACTGTAGCTGTTCTTTATGAGTCAGTAATTTTGTAATTTTGGTTTATATCACACATCAGCAGACTTCCACAGTCACCAGATCTCAAGCACCTTTGGGATGTGGTGGAATGGGAGATTCACATCATGGATGTTGCAGCTGACAAATCTGCAGCAACTGTGTGATGCTATCATGTCAATATGGACCAAAATTCCTGAGGAATGTTTCCAGCACCTTGTTGAATCGATGCTACCAAGAATTAAGGCAGTTCTGAAGGCAAAAGGGGCCCCACTTGGTACTAGTAAGGTGTACCTAATATTTACATTTCCATATCTTAACAAACAAATATGTTCTAAGCCCACAGAGCAAAATTGTGTCCTAAAACACAAGGACACATTTTGGTCTCTTTATATCAGATGTATTTGTCAGTGATATGTTTTATTTTTGTTTTCACACTTTAGTTAATCAGATCTGAGGAGTTCTCCAGCTGCCTCTCGTGTATCTCTCAATCTGCAGCACTAGATGGCACCTCTCTTCCATCAGTGGTCTTCATCGTTCATTCCTGACTGACAGAAAAGAGACTGCTAACACACAAGGAGTGGATTTTGTTTCAGAGAGGAGAGGAGAGAGGAGTACAGGAACCTCTGGCCCAACAGGTAACAACACAATATATGAAATATAGCTGCAAACATGTCTGTCAGCTTTACACTTCACACAGGGGCAAGTGTTTGTTTCTGGGGAATCCACTTGATTTTTCTTCTGTTTTGTACTCCAAGAGCAGGTGTGCAATTCTCACCTGCAGAACAGTCCAGAGTCAGTGTGTGGTCCAGTGACACATTATTAAAGCTCTGTGGTGCTTATTTTCTTTAGACGTGCGTTTCTTTCTATGGGTGTAAAATAGATAAGAGAAATCCTGTGAAGGTAATCTGTCTGCACGCAGCATGTGAGCGTGTCAGCAGGGAGGATGTGGTTGTAAACTCTGGAGATGAAGGTTCAGTCGGCATCGAAGGTGAAAGGAAAGTGAGGTTTAAAGAGAGAGAAAATTACGTGTGTTCTTCCTCAGTTGGTAACATATCAGCAGGAATTTAGTGGTTTCCTGCAGAAAATGTATTTTTGGTTCAGTTGCTAAAATTAAAAATACAAAACCAAGAACAGGTGAGAAATGATTGACTTTTATTTTCTTGGAAAAGACTCATGTATGTGGAAGTGGCTTGTCATTGTCATTCTAATTAGACATATACAATTACTTTCTTGATTTCATGATTACTTTTGATTGTCAGCCACTGTTTGTTTACAGTTTCTCTGTATTGCATTCCTCAGAGTAATAATAAGTTGCCAGCAACACTTTAACTCCCTCTATTTTCAGCATTTATAAGCAGCATATAAACTTTAAATAACTGGTTTGTAACACACTATGACATACTTATGAGTAGATATAACCATTTATTAATGCATTTGTCAACAACTATAACTCCTGTTGGAAACCACAAGTACAGATAATGAATGATAATATAGACAAATGCAGTTGTAATGATATGAAGTATCATGAAGCTGGAGCCTATCCCAGCTGACATTGGGCGAGTACATGTGAGAACACACACTGACAGTGCACGAATCATGTGTGTAAACAAACACACCAAGGAGTCACACATATCTACCAAGTTATCTCTCCTACTTTCAGGGTATTTTTCTTACATTTCCATGGTATTTAAACCAAAAAAATAATACAATTTGGAAATACAGGATGTTTGAAGATGTCTTTATTGTCCATATGAAGTGACGGTGTTTCAGTGTGTGCAGCCACATGGACTATTAAAGTTAAAAATTCTCAGGGCCATATAATGTGAACTATGAACTGAAAGGATACACTGTCATTGTTTATGGGCATATAAGCACTCACAGCGACCTTTCTGCCTGTTCAGAGAGTGTCTTAATATGTCTTCAGAGGACAGTGTGTTGCTTTGCTTTTATATACATGACCTCTTAAAGGGACAGTTCATTACAACATTAAAATTACATGTGTTGGAGGTATCAGCCGTAGAGATGTCTCCTTTGTTTTGAATATAATGGAACTAGATGGCACTCGGCTTGTGGTGCCAAAAAGAGCCAAAAAAGTACATTTGAAGAACTCAACAGCAATGTCTCTTTCTAGAAATCATGACCTGGTTACTCAGAATAATCCACAGACCTTGTTGTGAGCAGTTTCATGTAGGTAAGAAGAGGAAGAATGCATCTGCTGCAAGCTCACCCAGCACCCATAGGTGTTGTTATTGGGGGACAACAAGACTTTTTGACCCAGCTCTTTCTTTGCATGCAAGATGCCATCACACGCTTTATTATCTTCAACCAAGTGGCTAGACAGCATCATAAGGAGAGAGCAACTGTCTGTGGCCACCACCACTGATCTATTGTCTTACTTCTCTCTTGTGTTTTAAGATCCCGACTCAGTACCTCTTGTGCGGCCCCAACATGGAGGGCACCCCGGACCAAACAGCCGATCTGTTCTCTGATCAGAATCAAAGCTTTGAGCTCAACATGACAGCCGCTAACACCAGCTCAGTTTTTGTGGATGTCATGTCGCCAGAGATGAACAAAGCCATCAACATCCTTATGATAATCTGCATGTTCGTCACCATGGTTTCAATGGGATGCACCATGGAGGTTTCCAAGATCAAGGTGTCTCCACACATGTCCAAATACATTACCTGTCTTTATAAAAGATAGAAACCATCATGTTGAGCTCTTTTTCTTTCTTTGCAGCATCACATAGTGAAACCAAAGGGGGTGGCCATAGCACTGTTGGCTCAGTATGGAGTCATGCCTCTGACAGCCTTCTGCCTGGCTAAGGTTGGTGCTCCTGTTTATGAGATCATAAACACTTTATTTTACAGTACAGGAAGCATGTGAGGCCTCCTGCCATCTGAAAGAATGCACTCCATTTTACCGATTTAAAGAATATTAATGCTTTTGTTCTGCTTGCATATAAGGTATTTGAGTAGTCACCAGATTTAGTTGTGGTTTTTGATTTAATATGGTTTTCAACTGGATAAACAGAAAGGTAAAGTAGTGCTGATTAGTCGACTACTCAGTTCATTGACAACTACTGTATGTTGGTAATAAATTATGTGTTTGTCCAGCCTCTCAGATATAGAGATTTGTGTGTTTTCTTTGTTTTTTGTTATTATAAATGTATTATATTTAGACATCAAGACAGTGTTGTCAGTAATAGACATTGGCAACACAGTCAGACCAGGGCCGGATTATGAGAAAATGGGCCCCTGGGCACAGATATGCAAATGGCCCTTTAACCACTCCTACATCAGCCCGTTCTCAAACTCGTCAGCTAACTTCATCAGCTCAGCTTTTGTTAGTGAATGTCGGCATCTGGCACAGACGCAGCCTTCGATACAGTATGATACACACCAGGAAGCAGCAGTTTGTAACACCACCAGCAACTACTGTAGTAAAAAGAGTGAGAAAGTCCATATAAGGAAGGTGGGAGGAGAGGTGGATGGGTCAAACAAACTTTGGACTTTCACCTGGGAGTCCACTGTTTGTTTCTGGTGTGAAACTAAAAGTCAATGCATTTATTTTAATGACAGCCTAGTGTGCTCATATGTATAGCATGCTAAAGTAATGACGTATGACACATGACGTATGTTACATTGCATTAGTGACATCTGTACTTAGGGAAAGCCATGATATTTTTTTTTCTGAATCTAGTTGTGTGCTTTTGTCGCCTAGACTTAAGAAAATAAGCCTAAAAACTAAGTATTTTATGTACATTGTAAGTTTATTTTAAAAAAGACTGTATGCATGTAACAAGCAGAAACTGTACATTTCCTGTGAAAATGTAAATGTATTTTGAAATGAGAATGTGTTGCCTACATAGACGTAGACTTTGAGATTGTGCTTCTTATGTTGTTTTGTCTCTTTTCCTAGTTTTCTGTCTCTTAATTGATGTTTTGCATGTGTGGAGGTTATCTTGTGTCTCTTTGTGCTCATGACATTTTGCCTGTGCTCGATAGGCTCGTTCAGTAATCCATCCATGAGTCAGACGTACAAACAGACACTGTATGAATTCATTATGGTTTCATGTTGTGTGTAGGTGTTCCAGCTGGCTGATATGTTGGCTGTGGTGGTTCTGATCTGTGGCTGCTGTCCTGGAGGAAGCCTCTCCAACCTCCTGTCCCTTGCTCTAAAGGGAGACATGAACCTCAGGTACACACACACACACACACACACACACACAACCTGTTTGATGTGATGAATTTATGCTTGACTCCAAAAATGGGGTTGATTAGGGTAAAAAATGAACACAGGAGCTTCAGATGTTGGTGGTAGCTAAAACAAAGCAGTGTACATGATGCTTCTTTTAGGAGCCTCTTAGGATATAACACAATTAACACAGTGTTTAAAACAATTTAAAGTGATCCACTATAAATCCATTGTCCTCTGTAGCCAGTAAGACTGAGCTGGTGCTTATTGTCACAGGTCTGAGATTTATATGTAATGTGGCGCCTGTGGAAATGATAATGCTTGTGTCCTCTAAAGATCTATGACCAAACAGGAAACTGCACAGAGTAAATAAAATATTGGTCCAACTTATCTCCTATAGTTGCCAAAATTACAGTCCCAGTGAGAGAGCACAGTGTAACACTTGAACTTTGCAGCCATTTTAACGACTTAATAACAGAAATAAACATGGTTCAAAAAACTATTTTGTTCTCTGTAGCTAATTTCCCTGCTCTTAACAGCTTTACAGAGGATGAACTTTTATGCAACTCACCCGTTTACATTATAGTAAGACTTAAAGTTATGCATAATAAAGGGCGTGGCCACTTTGAGTGACAGACTGTCTGCAGAGAGTGTCCAGTCAGATCCACCTGTAGCTTTTCCACAGCTCCAGCCTCTCACCCAAATATGATCACTTCTGCCCTAAAAAAACCAAGATGGTGACCATCAAAATGCCGAACTCGAGGTATCAAAACCAGAGTCCACAAACCAATGAGTCATAGTAGCTACTGACAAATCAAAATACTAGTATGCATGTGTGGAAAGCTCTACGTCCATGTTGTTATACAGTCTGTGGTGTAAAGGTGACTGTAGCATGTTGTTCAAAAGCTGCTGCTGTCATATAAAGGGGCAGTATAATAAGTCAGATAAACCTTCTAACAGTTGGCTGTAATGTAACTCAGAAAATATTCAACCTGCAATAAACCTGCAGCTCCACATGCGTCCCCTAGTGGCTGCAGCGTGCACTCCACCTCACATCTTTAACATTATACTGTCAAATTAGCTGCAAAGTGATGACAACAATATAAAGGTGTGAGCTCAAAATGCTTGTGGAGTGTTAACAATCAGAATTCTAATCAAATTCAATTTTTATTCTAAAAAAACAGATACAATTTATAACCTACAGAACTCCTCTTTGTAGGATTAGTGTGTTCAAGTATCTGCCTGTTTGGTTTTGACAGTTCTGATGTACAAGAGAAAAGTTCATGGTTAGAGGGTCACCAGAAAACAATCTAACCGTAATCTAATGTAGAGCTTTTGTATGGTGAGACCAAGTCATTGCTTTAAATGTCACAGGTAAGTCTCAAGTGTTTGCACTAAAGTCCCAAGTCAAGACAGGAAAGTACCAAGACGTCAACTTTGAATTTTGAGTCCTAAACAAGTCATAATGTGCTCTTCACAAGTGTAATGCTGTTTTAATAAAAGCATATATTAAATTCACAAATATCATGAATGCTTTTTTTTAAATTTGTACTCATTTGTTAAAGTAAGTGTTTTTGGAAGTTGTTGTGTTTCCTTCTGTAATTTTCAATTTCATTAAATGTCAACTCGCTGGGAATTAATAACGTTAATGTTTGCTGATTCAGATAGGAAGGGAAATTAATGGAATTGTGGCACACTTTTTAATTAACATACTCGTAATCTGTGGGCTTGGGGGAAGGTATCAAGTATTTTCAAGTCAATAGGCTGAAGTATAGCTAAAGTGACAATTTTTTTTGATTTTGTCAAGTTTTAAGTAGTCAAATTTGTGACGGACTTTTCTTCCATTTTGGCGTAAAATCTGAGGCTCAAAGTTCATTCTTGACCTTGGATATTGGCTATACCTCTCAAAAGCTCCGGGTCAGCTGTTAAATGTACCTTGTCTTTTTCTACATACAATCATTTTCCCCATTACAGACCAGAATGTTGATCAAGGAGACATTTAAACTCATGTGGTGTGCCTAAACTGAAGGTAATAGGTCACCAAAATAACAACAAATCATGCTCTGGGGACCATGAACAGTTACAGTATCTAGCTTTGCTGTCCATGTGATCACCCAGTGACTGAACTTCACTAACTCTGTTTAATGACCATCTCTGGCCCAGTGGCAGTTGTTTACCTGTCGTCTCCATCACCAGCCACATAGATATGTTCACACGAGGCTGGGATTAACAAGCTATCACCCTTATGTGTTTCCCCTCAGCCTCGTGATGACGTCCTGTTCTACGCTGCTGGCCCTAGGCATGATGCCTCTGCTGCTCTACCTCTACTGTCAGGGCTTCGACCTGCAGAACGCAGTGCCCTATGTTGACATCATCATATCGCTGGCTCTGATCCTCATACCCTGCGGTGCCGGCATCCTCATCAACCACTACAGGCCGCAGTTAGCCAAGACTGTCACAAAGGTGAGTGCGTATACAGGAAGGTCACAGGGTCAGATTAATGGTTCATTAATGGATGGTAAAAATAAAATAAGAAAAAATTAGCAGCAGTTTTGATGATTGATTTATTCCAAAAACTTGCAGGTTCCAGTTTCTTCTTTTCTAATCTTCTCAGTTATATATCATTGTTAACTGAATATTTTTAAGTTTTGAAGTGTTGGTCAACTTTGACCTTTGACCTTTGGCTTTCATAACTCTGTTGTTAAAATGGCATTACATTTAGTAAAGACATTAAGACTTGTTCAGGACTCAAAACTTAAATTTTAGGACTTGGGACTGGCCTTACTTGGAACTTGAGTGCAAAGACCTGAGACTTACTTGTGACTTGCAAAACATGACTTTGTCTCACCTCTGGCTGACACATAGAGACAATCATTCACACTCACAGGCAATTTAGAGTCAAAATGTAACCCAACCTGCCTGTCTTTGGACTCATCCAAAGGCAGCTTCTGTGCCCTCTCTGTGGCACTCAGTCCCACACCCGTTTGCTCCCAGTGAAAACACAGGTCTTGAAAAACGGGTTACAAATGTGACATTTCATTTTCAAACCAGGCTCAGTAATTTCCTTAAACAGCTTGGAGTTGGTTTTGAGCAAATGTTAGTCAAACAGAGGTAAATGATGCATTTTTGATACTATAGATGACCCTGATTAAGTTTGGGATGATGAGCTTAATGGTTTCTGACAGGTTGTGACACCGCTCGCACTGTTTAGGAGGATGTTCCAGTCGACCTCATCAGGCAGCTGGCTGACATGGGAGGGTCGTTGCCTTGATTGGGCTCACCTGGGCCTTCAGGCTAGGAAAGCTGCCTCATGTTTTCACTCAGTCTGTCAAATAAAAGACAAATCTGATTTGTGTCCTGTCCTGCTGTGTTTCAGGCAGGCCTCATTTTCCTGGGTATCTCTATGGTGGTGATCGCCACCGTCGCTAGCTTTGCCATCGGAGACACTCTCCTCACAGTGCTGTCTCCTCCCCTCATGGCCATCGCTGCTCTCATGCCCTTCATAGGCTACGTCTTCGGATACGTCATCTCCTCGCTCTTCAGACTCAGCCAACCGTGAGTCATCCGCTTAAACATTTGAGCTTTGGTGGATGTTGTGACAGGTAGTATCAGTCATGTCGACTTATGAATGAATCTGCGACCTCTCGACCCACAGGGAGCGGAGGACCGTTGCTATGGAAACAGGCTGTCAGAACAGCCAGCTGTGCTTCACTATCCTGAAACTGGCCTTTCCCCCGGAGCTGACTGGCCCTCTGTTCCTGTTCCCTATGGTGTATGTGATATTCCAGCTGATGGAGGCGGTGCTGCTCATCTCGCTGTTCTGGGGTCACCACAGGTTCACACGCAAACAGAAAGAGAAAGGTGAGGCTGACGTCAGGTATTTAAAGGGTTAATGCAGACATGGAGAGAAAACACAAGACCACACAAACACTGATGTTGTGTTTCTAACAGTGAGGTTGCAGAACTGAAACTTCTCCCATGTGTAGGAGAACTATGGTGGCCGATGCAAAAACCGAAATGGCGCCATCTAGATCCATTGTTTGATTTGTCTGTTCTGGGCTATTATACATTATTTCTGCTAATAGATACCCCTAAATTCTACACACTTGGCCTTTATCTATCCATCCATCCATCCATCCATTTTCACCTGGCTATCCGAGGCCGGATACAATTCTCTCTAAAGCACCTCTAAAGCCTGATTTATGGTCCTGCGGCGTACCTACGACGTACCTACGTCGTTGCTGTGACGCCGTCGTGAACCCTTCGAACTTCTCCGTCACTCCATTTCATCGCGGTGCAATTCACCGCCAGAGCGGTAGGAGGCTGCGTTCCTTTCCTGAATGGTTATCGTCGTCTCTAGTTGAGTCGCTTCCGGCTTTTCCGGTCACAGAGAAATGAACGCGGAGCACAGACAGACGGCTCTGTCTGTATATCTGTATCCGTATTGAACGTTGAGCATAAATGGGCCTTAATACTGCAACATCTACATCGCAACAGAAGATGTTTAAAGATGGCGGGAATGGCGCGATCTGGAAATACGGAACCGGAAATGCGTTGCTACCAAGCAAACCAATCACAGCCCTCTCGGTCTGCGCTGGGTCTGCGTCACCTCGACGTGTAGTTACATTTTTGGGGAGGTGCACGTCAGGCTACGTCGGGGGCTACGGCGAGCCTTCTGCGTAGCCCCGTACCCTACGACGTAGCGACGTCGTTGATTTAACGCAGGACCATAAATCAGGCTTAACAGGAGGCACCCAGGAGGCATCCTGATCAGATGCCCGAACCACCTCAACTAACCCCTTTTGACAAGAAGGAGCAGCGGCTCTACTCCGAGCTCCCTCAGGATGTCCGAGCTCCTCACATTATCTCTAAGGCTGAGCCCAGCCACTTGTATCCACAATCTCATTCTTTCAGTCACTACCCAGAGCTCATGACCATAGGTGAGAGGTGGGATGTAGATGGACCAGTAAATGCCACACCAAAGAGCCGATCCGTCTCACACTCCATTCTACCCTCACTCGTGAACAAGACCCCGAGGTACTTGAACTCCCTTGCTTGAAGCAGTAACTCACTCCCAACCCAGAGAGCTTGGCCTTTGAGTTATTTAAAATTGAATTTTGGGGTCTTGATCTGACAAAGTCAAAGAATTCAGAGAAATTTTGAGAGGCCTCTTTCATTTTCTGACACCTTGACACCACCTGTGTATATTGTTATGATCCAGATAATTCTGGCATCATATATACTTTAACTTTGCACCTTATTGTTATCTTTGACTTTTATATTTTCACTTTTTATATTTGCACTCTGACCAATTTGTATTATAACCACTGAGCAGCAATTTCACTCAAAGTACAGATTTATCTTATCTTGTGTTTTATAGACTGAGTTACATAATCATTGCTGGACTAGTTCTGTGAACAGAGGTCATTTACCTGAGTGAGTAACACAGACTGGATATATTTACACCACTGTATCATCAGAGGTGGACATACCTGCCGCTCCTCATTGTGTAAAAAAATTAAGTATCCAGGAGTATAGATAGGTAGGATATATGAATAGGATTTTAGCTTTAAAGCATGAAATATTGGTGTGTTAGCAGTATAAGCTAATAGTTCATTTCCATAGTGAATATTGGGAGTAACAAGTCTCATCTAACAAAACAAAAAATTGTAATTAGATTAGATTAAGAGTCAAGGTATCATAGATTTTACAATTCATTCTCTGGGGACCACGAATGTCTGTACAGCATTTTGATGCCAATGAATAAAGTAGATATTAAGATTATTAGGGCGTCCTGGTAGCCTCGGCCCAGTTGATCAGAAGTAATCTGATCAGATATCTGCTGTCGGATTGGATCCATGGATGGGTCACTGAACGGGCCTATTGGGCACAGGCCCAGGGGCCCAAAGTGTCAGGGGGCTCCTCTGGTCTTCACTTGCATGTGAATGTCACTCAACTAAGAAACATACCGACAAGGAAGATGCTCAAAATGATCGCAAATGAAAATGATTCAGAAATTAGGTTAGATCACGTTATCCAGATGTGGTTTTGATCTGGATCAAACCCCAGCATGTGTTGTTCAAAATTTTTCAGTAGGATTGGGATACCTTTGATCCCCAGAATCAAGACTATCCTGACCCCAGCAGAAGGCTGGATTCAAGCTGAATTTCAGCAAGAAATTATAATAAAACATTTAAATGAGTCAAATATATGTATAATTATTTAAATTTAGACTTGATTTGTTTAACTGTTACAGTGATAAAGCTTATATTTGGCTTCCTATTGAGCCTCTCAGTATAGTAAAGTAAACCAGTAAAGTTACAGTTTACATCCATGTCTGTGTCCATGTCTAGACAAGTGTTTTTGCAGAACATTATGATGTCACAGTGAAGCTGACCTTTGACCTTTTGGATATAAAATGTCAGTTATATCAGTTCATTGTTTCATCCTCTTAGACATTTGTGTAAAATTTTGTCATAATTAGTGTATATATTCCTGAGTTATGGCATACATATTTTTTGAGGTCACGGTGACCTTTGACCTGACCACCAGAATCTAATCATTTCATTCTCGACTCAAAGTGGACGTTTGTGCCAAATCTAAGGAAACTCCCACAAGGCCTTCTTGAGATATCACCTAAACAAGAATGTGATGGACAGACGAATGGACGGATGGGTAACCCAAAAACTTAATGCCTCCGGCCACTTAAATTCACCCCACACTGGATGTTCTGCCTGTTGTTCTTTACACAGCCTGGATTGTCATACATAGTCCCATTTAAAGTGCTATGTTGTTTTGAAAAAACACAAAAGTATGATAGCTTATCTGATCCTGGATAGCAAAATATGGGATTTCCACATCTGGATTATTGTGATTCTGATAGATGTTTTTAACAGCTGGGCCATTAAGATGGTGTGTTACTGTATACCAACAACATTCTGTTTGATTCTGGCTGTGACCTCTGTTACATGTCATACCTATGTCTTCCTGTTTCCTGTCTGTCTACATGGTCAACATGGTCAGTTAACCCACAACAGCGCCAAAAATGATCTTTATGAAAGTGAATACTGCAAGACGATGTAGTGCAAAGTGCATAGAGTGTCTACATGTATCAGTCACTTAGATTTAATACTTTTTAAGACCTTTTTTATATAATTTAAAACCAGATTTTTTTAACAAGTCTTTTTCTTATTCAAGCATATAAAGAAAAAAGACAGTATTATAAAGTGTCTACAGGTATCACACTTAAATTTAATGCTTATTTTTTAACCATATTTAAGTCTGATTCTTATTCAAGCATTACAGCTAAGGTTTATATACGTAGTGCCGTACAGAGCTGGTCTTATATATAAATTAAGACAGTATTAGGTTCAGCTGTAGATTTAAAAATGTGGATTTTCACACAGAAGAGCTACACTCTTTTTGAAAAATAAAATAAATATATTTAAGCAATATCACACGAGAGGGAGTGATGTTATAGCCTACTCGTATATCGTCACGAGCTCGAGTGTGATATTGCTTTTATACAACAGTTCAACAGTTACATAAGCAAGGCTGATTAAGAAATGTTGAAAAATGAGGACAAAATAGATAATTTAAGCATTTTTTGTGTCTTCCGCCAACAAAAATAGTTCCCTCAGAACTCCGCTGTCACCGTTGCTATGTAACACAGACATGGTGCGCCAGGCACTTACTCTTTATACACATTTATCTGCACATTTCCATTAATTGTGCAGCCGGTGAAATAAATCTCTGGTGACTGCATGGTGGACTGTCGCTTCACAGGCACAGCCGACTCTGCCTTCTGATCTGACAGTATGTTGCTCCATCGTTTTCTGCTCTCCATGGATGGCTTCCAGTAGCGCTATAAGAAGCTCTCAGACCTGCAAGACAAAAGGTATATTTAGGGCCCGACTCCTAATTAGAAGACTATATTTACACATAGGCTACGTTAAAACAACATCATACCTGTGCCCACTCACTGTCATGATCTCCCTCACTTCAAGACCAGCATCTGACAGCTTCTGTATGGCAGTCGCCCTGAGGCTGTCATTGGTGTAGATAGCTGTTGTCCCCGCCTCTTTACACATCTTCGGCAGCATCTGTGCGAGTGAGTTTATTCCCAGCTTGTTTAAATACTTTTCCAGGGATGCAACGCAACTGCTGACCTAACTGACACTAACCGTCAGTTTTGATTTGATTGTTGACTGCAATCAGCTGTGAGGCGGAGTGATACATATACAGTGAAATAACCGTGATGTTGTATTCCAATATCATCACGGTTTTACTGTCTCTCGACCAATCAGATTGCAGGGCCGGAACTAACTGTTGTATAAATATATAAGATCAAAAAATTAAAGTATGTAAAATGTTTGTGGAAATCAAGACATCACAAATTCAATTTTAAGACTATTTAATGACTTTCAAGGCCTGAATTTAAGACATTTCAAGACATTTCAAGGACCTGCAGTAAGGCACCCTGAGTAAGGCACTACCAAACTTGAGTTGAGTCCAGGTTCTTACCAGTTACAGAAACCAGGCTAAGAAATTTAATGAATGTGCATTTTCATGTGTTTTGAATGTGAAATTAATGATGTCGCTTTAGTTTAAGCTCCATATCATGAATGTTTTCCATTTACAATCTGCTTGTCTGTCTGACCCACAGTGACATACCAGCCTGCAACCACTGAAGAGAAGTCAAAAGAGGCCTCTGAGGGCACGGTATGATGATGGAGCTTTATTGTTTCTAATAATGTGAACTCTTGCTGACCGGAGCCTCCAGCTTGATGGAGACTGAAGGAAACCTGCACTTCTTTTAACACGATGTATAACTGCAGAGAAGCCATTTTGTGCCAAATCATTTTTAAGAAAGCGAATATTTATGTTTGCACTGAATTGTAAATTGACAACTTTGTATTTTTCATTTTTAAAATAAAGGCCACATAAACACAAGATGAATGATTTAGTTAAAACTGTTTTATTAAGTCCACCGTCTTCCTACACCATACAAACGTCCATCATATTTTTCACTGAAAATAAAATCCTTACGTACAAAAATCTTGCTTTTTTTTTCGTTTGTTTTTCCAAACTCTTGTCTACACGTTCATTTAAACCACAGTAACATCAGTCACAGTACCAACAAGCATTCGTGGAATCACATTATACACTGATGTCAAACAAAATCTGCAATGCTGTACACAAAAACCTTAAACCAAAAAATAAAAACATTAATTACAATGCTAGAGCAAACTGCATTCTGGGAGCAACACCATTTTAAAGTGTTGACCTTATCCTCAAAGAATCCCGACAAAACAGAAGTGAGTCGGAAAAAGATCCAGGACATAGTTAATTTACTGTTCAGCTGTTTTCCTGCTGGAACGATGGTGGTATTGAGCTTTAGCAAAACACTTTTTAAAGTAAAAAAAATATCCAATCAAACCAAAAACACATGCAAGCATCCTCAGGTATATATATCAAACACACCGGCTGTGGTGGATACAGTCGGTCAGAAAACAAGGGAAGAAGAGGTGAAAGGATTTGGACAACGAGTGATCAGGACTGACGAGCAAAAACACGCAAACGCATCGCAAAATAAAGGAAGTGGTCACACTACTTATCAAAAGCATCCTTGTGCTGCCGACAAAAAAGACAGATTCCCTCTTTAAAGTTTTTCAAAGTGTCGAGATGACAGTGAAACTTGATGCTGGGCATTTTGGAGATTTTGTGAGAAGAGACGACGATGGTGCAGCAGCAGGGGAGTTGCAGCCTGATTGGATAAATTAATTCGGAGGGTGTCGACATAGATATGGGTTCAGACTGGATGGGTAACGACAGGTACAAAAACAGCATCACTGTGTAACAAGTGTTAAACTTCCTATAATGACGATAAAATATTTGAGTATCTTCGCTCCTGTCTGACGATGGGTCGGTGATTTCATGTCAGGAACTTGAAAGTTATGACAAAACTTTACTCGAGGGAAGCTCTCGTCTCTCTCAGAAGGGGGATCATGGGAGCTCCAGTGTGCCAACTCCTCCACGCTGATTCTACGGCTGAATCAAGTTGTGTCTACTGTTGATTCCCTTTACACCTAAACGCAGCGTTTAGCGCTGACTGTCAGTGGAAGGGGAGCGAGAGCGGGAGCGTGAACGAGAGCGGGAGCGGGAGACGGAGGCTCTCTGTGCCGGTGGAGGGGAGGGCGGGGTAGCGGATTTGCTTGTCTTGGAAGAACGTTTGGCGGGCTCTTTTGATTTGGGGGTTGGGGAGGAGGCGCCACCGGCAGGGGAGCCGCTGTGGGAGCGTGAGCGGTTGTGGGTTTTGTGGGCGGGGCTGCGGGAGCGTCTGGGGGAGCGGGATGGGGAGCGACCGCGGGAACGGGACCGTGAGCGAGAAGAGCTCTCAGACCGGGAACGACTTCTCGACCTGGGAAGGAGAAAAGAGAGGAAGGAGAAGAACATTAAGGGACAGTTCACCCCAAAATCAAAAAAATAGATGTTCTGTGCTTCTCAGCAGCAGAGTTACAACTATATGTCACGTCCTGACAGCTCAGCCCAGCTCTACTGAATCCATTTAGAGGGATAAATTTAGTTGAGTATGTTCTTTTGCCTTGAGCTCTGTTCTTGAATGCAGGCTGAGCATTAATCCGTTAGTGATAGATGGAGTAATCTTGGATACTTCCTATTGTGACTAAAAAGAAAACATGAGTGGAAAATGGAAGTCATCATCTCTCACCTCTTCCTGGCTGCCTCAATGAGCTTGATTTTCCTGCCATTGATTTCCTTTCCAGACAGTTTCTCCATGGCGTTTTTCAGATCACTGCCAGAGGCAAACTCAACAACCCTGTAAAAACATCACAAGATTTTAGTTTCAGTTTTAGATATTTGATATGACACACACGTGACTCATTCTGTGATATTTATTAGGCAGTTAGGAGTAACAGAGATAACGCTCCTACCCTTCGTTGAGCTTGGGCCGATGTGCGTCTGCAAATGTCACCTCTCCAGCTTGTCTCATGAAATCTTTCAAGTCCTACACATGTAAACATCAGTCAACTTATGGAGAGGCTCGGGACACAAGCACAGCCTGAGACATTAAACAGGGCTGATTTACCCAAAAAGAGAGATGGTTAGATTGTCTGAGAGGACTACACAGGCTACTGCAGATAAGGAGGATGAGTCCAAGAACCTCGGAGGCTGTTCAATCAGTGGGTTTGTTTTTTTTTTAAAGTGTGTTTCATAAAAAAAAAAAAAAAGATACATTTAAAACCTTAGTAAAGACATAAAGTGTGCCAATTTAGGTATCACCCAATTTTGTCAAGCCTTATTAGTAAACAGTCCCAAGTATTTGCAAAAGCTTTGAGATTCTTGGACTCATTACAGCTACAGAGACATGAACACCATCTGCATGAACTGAACTGCAGTGGCGCCACTTGGGCAGCCTTTGGCACCAAGAGCCCCGTTTTCCCTAGCAAGGAGGGCACAGGGCTCCACGCCGGGACCGCCCCTGTCTCAGCACCCTGCCTCAGTAAAGAGAGTGAACAGGGTGGAAGAGAGGAAACTACTACCTGAGAGCGAAACCCTTTGTGGTGGGCCGCAGGCTCTCCGAGCCCACCATAACCTCGGGATAACAGCAGATTATATCCATGGACACCTGGGAGGAATTCACACTCTCTCTCTCGCTCGCGATGTGCGGGAACACCAGAGGGGGGAAGGGAGGGGGGGATATCGATCGACCGAAGCCCCTCAAATAAACGAACCTTCGATCAATACGCCACCACCATCACCATCGACTCTCGCTCTTTCCTCTCCTTTCTCTCTGCCAACTCTCTGTTTCCTCTCTCTCGCTCTCAGCCACACACCAGGCGCCCCCCTGCCTTCGACAGGGGGCGTTGCGAGCGAGTGAAGGGGCCGCCAGCGCCTCTAGTGTGGAGCGAGCGCTCACATGACCAGCAGGCGTCAACTAGGAGTAGGACAGACTGGCTGACACCACAGGCTCAACCCAGACAGAAGGACCCAGAAGGGGTTAACTCCACCATAAGCGAGCTCTTCCACATGACTCAACAGTCAGGCTGGCAAATAAAGGGGTGAAGAATTGGTTAAAATTTGAATAAAGGAACAAATTAAGTGCTTTTCTTGTTGTTACTAGTCTTTGATTCATTACTTAACTGCATGAGATGCAGATTTAATAGAGTGCTCAATCATTAAGAACAATTTGGGCCTTATCACAATAACACAAATTGTTTAAACATTAAAATAATAAAGTATTAATTTGACTCCAGATGTTCTATGTTCTTTAGCAGCATGGAAATTCTACATCTGTATGTGTGTATTGTTGGAGGCAGACTGCTGGAGGTGATAACATTTGTGGTGTTGCAGCTTGTAGAGACTTGCTGTATACAAGAAACATGTGGCAATACTAACCTGCCAGCTGACACGGGAGGACAAGTTCTCCACGATCAGGCGGTTCTCAGTGCGCATTGGAGGAGGGTTTCGGCTGAAACAAACACACAAAAATAAAGACTAAATCAATTAAAGAACAACACTGGCACTGAGACACAGACTGCAGCACAGAGAGCTCATTAGCTGCTTGTCAGTAACAAGGCTAACTCATGTCATGAATCTTTAAAATGCATTAAACACAGTGCATTTTAAGTAAGATGTGTCCAGTCTGTGGGTCATTTATTACAGTCTGATTAAACTGGTTCACCTACAAAAAATGAAGGAACTTGGACAGTAGCTTTTATGACTTCTAACACAACTTGTGCGAATTATTTTACATGCAATCCTCCCTCATTTGAATGACATTAAGTAGAGCATATCTGCCATCATAAAGCAGGTGACCTGCTGTTACAAAAAACCGTGGGTGGTGTGAGACCGTTACCTCCGACTGTTCTGGGAGCCTCGGCCATATCGATCAGAGAAACGTCCTCCTGCACCGCCGCCTCCTCTGCCACGGCCGCCTCGCAGACGTACACGGGCATGCTCAATGGTCACCCTGAAATTACAGGAGGGAAAAAAACTATTACCTTGGAAACAGACAGAGGAAAAGAAAGACGCATTTCTAATTCACGTCACATTTAGCACACTGTCCTACCTTTCGTTGCACAACTCTTTGCCATCGAGCTCATAAACAGCATCTTCAGCATCTCTGGGGTCGTCAAACTCCTGCAACAAACAGAACATTTACAACATCACTTAGTACCGTCTGTACCATTTCAACCCGTGTTCTGTATGAGAAGAAAAGCACCTAACTACTTTACACATGGCAGTACAGCCTTTCTTCCCTTAAATTCAAAATGCACACACCAAGCAAAAAATTGCTCTGACCCACTTTCATTCTGTACCTAGACTTGTTTATCCACCTTAATTTTACACAGCTGTGAGAAGCTCCTTCAGGCGCTGCGTGCATCACTGTGCCACAACAGCATCTATCAGAAGGTTAGTATATATGCATTAATAGTTCTGGACTCAACACAAGAAAACTGATACAAACAGGATGTGCTTGAGCTCAATTTGTGTGTGACTACCATAGCAACGGATCTGAATATTTATCCATATGAGATTGAACTTGTTTTCTGAAATCCAGTATTTTCAACTTTGTCATTACTGGTTATTAAGCATGAATTAGGGTTAAAGTAAAACTTAGATACTCCATAATGACATGTCAAATAAGGAAAAGGATGTAAATGGGGCTGTAGTAAATGTCTTTTTTTTTTTTTTTTTTTTTTTTAAATATTCAAAGTTTTTATTTCGGGTTTTCGAACAAGGCTTTCATCATTGTCTGTCATCATATTTTATTACATCACCCTAAAAATAAAAATCCTTAAACAAAATCCTCAACTTGAATTAAGTGATTCATCAGATTGAATTAGTTGAATTGAATTAGTCTTTTTCATTAAATCGTTTTTCTTTAATGAATATAATATCAGTTTCGGCAATATGATCTTTTTTTAATGACTTAAAGGTCCAGTGTGAAGAATTTAGTGACACCTAGCTGTGAAGCTGCAGAACTAGATCTTCTCTTGTGTGGTAAGTATGTAGGACAACTGCGGTGGCTGACGCAAAAATGCAAAAGGTCAATATGAGCAGTGCAATCTAAGTTTCAGATGATTATACACAAGTGAAAACAGTTATAAATGTATTAAATATGTTTTATGTAAGAATAAAGTGCACATGTCTTTGCCACCTGGCAAATATGGAAGCCGAAATATTGTACTGAGACATGCTACAGTCCCCTACTTATGTCTCACACGTTAATTAATTTGTGGTTATTTTTCCTTTTTATCATTTTCTTTCTTGTCTACTAGATTTCCTGTGACTGGCCTGGCTTTCTCTGTTTGTTCCTGGGTTGATGGGTGGGTGAGGTTGTTTTTTGTCTTTACTGGTTCTGTGTTTGTTTATCAATACTCTTTTATTCATTCATTTTCCATTACCGCTTATCCTGTTAGGGGTCACATGGGGGCTATAGTCTATCCCAGCTGCCCCTGGACAGGTCACCAGACTATCACAGGGCTGACACATAGAGACAGACAACCATTCACACCTACAGGCAATTTTGAGTCACCAATTAACCTGCACGTCTTTGGACTGTGGGAGGAAGCCGGAGTACCTGGAGAAAACCCACACTGACACAGGGAGAACATGCAAACTCCACACAGTAGGGCTCCCCCGCCCTGGGTTCGAACCCCCTGCTGTCTCGCTGTGAGGACACAATGCTTACCACCACACGACCATGGCGCCTCACTATAATATTCTGTATATCTTTATTGAATTACCAATTAAAATACCTATTTTTTTTTTGGAAAAGAAATGTATCACTCTTTCACAAAAAATATTACAAAATGGATAAATGAAATTAGATATCATGTTTGTTGTAATTAGGACCTCACAAATTCAAACTGAACACTTATTAATGACTTTAAATGCCTTACAGTTTAACACTAAACTTAAAATATCTGTGAGATTTTTTTAAAGGACCTGTAGACACTCTGGTTATAGTATCTTTTTTATTTTGATTATAATTTTCTTATTCTGCATTTCTGCTTTTTAACTAAAGCAGAGTTTTGCCTTCAATTTAATTTCCTCTTTGAATATGTATTGCATGCACCAAAAAGGAGAAGTAAGATTCCTTATTTGTGAAAATCTACTTGGCCATTAAACTGACTCTGTTACAATGTTTGATATAAATTGAAGGTTACGCCTGCACCAAAATGAACAGAGCTGGACACAGATACACATAATATCCTGTTGCTGTTAAGTCAAGCATATATCGCCATATATTAGAGAGTAGATTTGGGAGTAATTCTCGGCATATTAAAGCCGTGTGACTCACCACAAAGCCGAAACCTCTCTTGAGGTCGATGTCTCGGATGCGGCCGTATCCTTTGAAGAACCTCTCCACATCCTTCTCTCTGGCCGAGGGGCTCAGACGGCCGATGAAGATACGACATCCACTCATTGTTGGTGTCGCCGGTAACAGTTTCCTGCAAACAGGCGTGCACACGTTACCCTCACAGATTTAGCTAACACGGGGAATTACAATTAACGGCTGCGTATTCATAAATGAAGCCATTACGTTACTTGACCTGTGTCATTTTATTTAGCAAGCTAGCCGGACATCTGTGGGGCCTAGCAACCGATTTTATCGGGCCATGTTTCGCACTAATTAAAGCTACCGACACCGAAACACGACAGATAACGGTTATTGCTAACAAAACGAAAGCTGTACGGTGATGTTAGGTGCATTTAAATCGCTGTACACGTACCTTTAAGTGGTCCTGGTGGTGTTTCCGTGCAGGTTGTCGACTGTGACCGCAGAAATCAAACAAAATGGAGTCTCCGCTGTTCAGGGAGGGGGCACGAGAAACACCCACGTGACGTACGATGGAGGGCCCCTCTACTACTTCCCTTTTCGTTTTTATAATAGCCTGTATAAAAAAATCACATTTGTTTAATTATGTTATAAATAATACACAATCTAAAAAATGTATCTTTTATATAGTTTATGTTTCTTCTTTGATGATTAACGACAGCCGGTGTCTTTAGTGCCACATTACCGCCCCCTGCTGGACATACTTAGCTACTACAGTATAAGGACCTCGACCTTTATTTAGATTTTAATGTATTTTAATTAAAAGCGTCTGTCATGTAGTCCAGGAACCAGACCACTCTGCGAGCTCATGTTGTGTTTCCTCTGGCAGATGCATTTGCGAGTTAGTCTGGTGATGCCTGGCTGTCTGTTATCTGCTGTGGTGAAATACACCAGGGCTGCAGCCTGGAGACATGGATGCATTGTAAAGCAGCAGACCTATAATGTAAGAAAGGAAGACAGTAATAGAGGAGGCAAAATGGACAGTATAGTATTTCACTGGAGTTGTACCGTGTATGATTTCATGTGACAAATAAAATGATGGATTGATATGGAAAATTGTAAATAAAGGGTTTTTTGCATTGCAAGAAAAAAAAAACACTCTCCAACAATCTTCTTCATTTCCCCCACAGGGTCCTCCATCTCTGATAGATATTTCCTGTAACTAACAAACACAATGTTCTGGTGCTCACCTGACTGAAGGTGACACTGCAGAACACGGAAATAGCCGAAGTGCGGCTGGAGGGTTTCCGAACATGACGTCACTCACCCACCGAATACTACCTTCCAAATGTGTCACGTTACAGTCCTTTAATTTAGGTGTTTTTTGGTCTTCTTTATTTTATGATGTACAGAGAGAGAAAACATGGTATATTTGTAATTAATATTACATCAATAACAAGTTAAGGAAAATATATTTCAAGATGTTATATAGGATTTACCTGGTAAAGTTTGTGTTAAAAAAATTCAAGCTGAATACTGATTATACGTGTGATTTCTGTGGACTGGAAAAGGAAAGTATTTCTTTTTTTCTCACTGTGTATTCACAAGAATGTTTTGGATTGATGTAAAAAAAAATAAAAAATAAAAAAAAATAGAAAATTAATGTTAAAATAGATTTGTTTGCTCTTATACTCTATTTCAGTCCAGATAAAATTGGAAATAACTTGTACATCATACAACTTTATATTATTTTTGAAAAATTCCGTATTCCTAAGATGTAAACCTACATTTTATTAATGAATTTCAACAATATAGCACCATCTTATCTAATATTTAATTAAGACCTTTACACCAGAATAAATGATTATAATATGATGCATATAACACAAACGCTGATATTATAAAACTAAAATGTAATTACTATATATTTTTTTGTTTTATCTGCTTGCATTTTTTTTTGACTTATGTGTTTTGTTTGTTGTCTATGTATGTTTGTAGTTTTAAAAATGAACTTTATACTTTCTACTACTTATTTTTGTATATATTTTATATTTCTATATTCTAATGTCCACATACTGTTTGATGACTTGCTGCTGATTCCAGTTGGGATCAAGTACTATCTATCTATCTATCTATCTATCTATCTATCTAACAATACAGAAACTGGGGGAAAAACTGAGTGCAGTTCCTGACTCTGCCCACTAGGTGTCACTCAGACACAGCATTATAAACATCACATCACACTGCACACACTGCTCAGGAGCCTTTATATGACTCAGCTGCAAAAACATAACAGCAGGACAAAAGACATTATAATAAACCACAAGTTCATCCAGAAATATTTTTGTTTCATAACTGCAAGCTTACAAAATTGGTTTTAAGAAGATACTAGATGTTTTTCCAGCTCCCCAGGCCAGTCACTCTGCAGTCTAATCAAACACAGCAGTATGATTCAGGAAGCAGTTTTAAAGACTAATAAACTCTGACGACCTTTGACTGAGAATACATGTACTCTCACTGTACACTGGTTAATGATTGACTTTAAAGTGATGGAGCAGATGGAGAGCTACGAGGTTTTATAGTGATAACACGGTATCATTGAGGTACTAATGTGACTAATGTACTAGCATGTACCTGAGGGACAGTTGGAGTAGTTTTAAGATATTACATTGATCACTGGCTGCACAGTGCCAGGCAGTAGGCCAGTGCATTCATTCAGGCGGATATTAAACAGGAGCAGGATTTCCAGCGAAGTTTCAAATCTTCCGGGACCTTATCCAAAGGAAAATGGAATAATTTTCTTTTGACTATTACGAGCAGATACACACTGCCATGGTCAACAGTTACTGGAAATGTGTTGGAAAAGTGTGTAGTGTCAGTTTGATCATGAACTACACAGCAACACAGACACGGCTTCAAATAATGACACGTCATCTTCCACATTCAAAAGAAAGCTTTAATTAGAAAGTTATATACACACTGTAAAATTAAATTAAACTTTATACAAATATTAAATTACTATCTTCACACCCACTGCCATGTACAGAGGAGAAACCAAAGCTGAGAGCGTTGAAACTAAGAATCAAGATGTGTACTTTTTTAACCTGTTATTCTCAGGGACGCCAACACCGTACAACAGTGCTTCTGAACGCAAAGTTAATTTCTTTTTTTTTTCCTCTTTTCAATCCCGTAATATTTTAATGCCTTGTAGCAAAGGAGAAGCAAAGGAATAGTGAAATATAGGTGCTTATAGGTTCATCGTCATCGTCATCATCATCACAGTAGCTGTAAAAGCTAGGGGAGGACCGAGAAGGATGGACATTCGTTAAGTCGTGTCCACAACAAAAGTAAACTCATCGATAAATACACAAAGACAGTTTTATGCATAGAATAGAAAAGAACAGAGTAAGGCCATCGGGAAAACAGAATACGTTGCAGTATTGTAAAGCAACCAACGTGGAGGCTTAAGATTATACAAAAAACAAAAGAAAAGAAAATGTACAAGTCTAAGGCAACATTCTGTTTGCATTAATAATGTAGCCGTTGACAACGACAGACAGTCACAAATGCCAAATAAAATGGGAATAGAAACTCTAATGGGTTTGTTCGGAGCAGTTAAGCTTGAAAAGCAATTCTCAGGATCCTTCAGAGTCATGCCGTTTCCAGGGTGACCAGCTCAACCCACCGAAGCTTTTCAACTGGCGATGAAAACAGGATAATTTCTAACAAAATAACATGATTCTCTTAAGTTTCCACTTGGCATTAGGAGGGTGGTGGTGGAGGGTGGGGGTGCTATATCACAAAACTTGAGCGTCTCACTGCAACCAGCTGCAGTTGTGTCAATAATGCACACGAGTGGAGAGTCTTGGGTTCAGTGTGGAGGTGGGCGAGGGCCAGTTCCTCTGAGGGGACTTGTGTTTTCCAGCCATTCAGCAGAAAATGATAAATAATCTAGCTGGAGAGCGGATGAATAATACACACATTGTGTAGCCGACTCGTTGCCTGAAGTGACGGTGGTTTGTTCATGTGACTTATTCAATGCCGGGGGGGAATTTTTTTCTTATGGTGAGAGACAGGGGACATTGTGAAGCCAGGCTCTGATCTGAGGAGAGGCAAATCAGGAAATGGCTGAATCGAGGCCTGTCCTCATATGGACATGTCCTCTCCTGCCTGGCTGACACACAAAGATGCACACACACACACACACACACACACACACACACACTCAGATTCAGCAACTCAAATCCAAACTGCGCCGCACACAATAAATACAGTGGGAAGGAAAATTAAACACAAACAACCTTTTAAAGTTAAGCCCAGTCACCATGAAAGACATCCTCAGACATAACGTGACATCATGTCCGTCTCTCCTTATACGAGGAAGATGTATAGTACAGCCCTGGAACCAAACACACCAATCGATCCCACTCGTGCGACAGAAGGAGCACCTTTCAGATACCGGGTGCAGCTGGCGACAGAAAAGAAAGGAGCGGGTCTTTTTATAGTTGTGATAAGGTGCTTCGTAAAACGCTGCACCCTGCTTTTAGCTTCTGTGAAGTGCTTCTCGGTCCCGCTAATCCATATGCTAGACGCCACCCGCATTCACAGAAAGCTAGAGACGGAGAGAGAGAGAGAGAGAGAGACAGAGGAGGCTTCATGCTTCATTCAGAGTGGGCCACCGTGCTGTGACAGCAATAACTAAAAACAACATGCAGCATTCACAAAGCGGGGCCACAAAAAAAAAGAAACCCAGCCATCACTCACAACTTTTCAAGTACAGCGGGAAGACGATTCTGATTCTGAGCGCCACGGCGTCAGCAGCGAACATCACAAGTTTTTTTTTTTTCTATCCGCAGTAATCCCAGACAGAGTCAACGTGTCTCGATTGCTATAGCCGTCTCCGATGAAGTCTGTGAGCAGTGTTTATATAGAGATCTACACCTGGGAGGAGGCAAGTGTACGGTGATACGTAGCCTATAGTACACAACCTTGACTCAGTATGTATGTTTTACATATACATAGGATCTACAGGATTTATGTTGAGCTGGCACCACTTTGTTTGTCCGGCTTGTCTTTGATCCAGCAGCTGGGTCCGGTGGTGCTCCGTCATTGCGAGTATTGGCTTTGCTCTGCATGGGTAGCAATGGCAGAAGAGGGTTGCATGGGGGGAATGGGGGCGTAGTTCTAGTCTTTTCTCTGCTGGCTGCTGAGGGGAGTTGGGAGGAGAAGTGGGTTGACAGCCACAGTCAGTCCTGGTCAGCAGTGAGAGATAGGGAAATAAGGGCTCTGCTGCTGATGCTGATAGCGGGCTGGGAGACTTCATGCTTCCTTCAGCAGGGGAATATCTGCAGGGGAACAGAGCGGACATATTAGGAAGGAGAAGTGGCTCCGGAGTCAGCTGTTTACTCATCGCACAGTCATGCAATCCATTACATCACCAAAGATATTTCAGTGGATTCAGTGGGTTTCATGTGCATTTGCGTCATTAGACGTCACTGTCTGGGCCTATTGTCATATTCTGTCCCTAAACACATTCTCAAGATACACTATGCAAGATTTTATGTCTAAAGCAATACCT